TTATGGCTTGAGTTGGATTTAAACTCTGGTTCTGTTATAATTCATCTTCTGAATCTTGATCATCAGTTTTCTGAGGCTGTCTCTTAATAGTGATCACCAAATCAATGGTTAATATTTTTGTCAAACACTGAAGAACCGAAGTTAGTAACTGGTGTTTACCAGCAACTGATTCCAACCCCATCTGATTGCTTACCAAGGGTTGATTGGTTTGAAGTGCATGAATAGCTTTCATATATATTTGTGGAAAGCTATGACTTCCTTTCTTAGATTTATAAAGGATTTTGGGAATGCCTAAAAGTGCATTAGCTATTATCATACTAACCATGGTTTCTTCTGACTGCTGGCATGTTTGGCTGTATTTGAGAAGGTAATAATGTAACAGGATCTCAAAATGACCACCAACTGGCAAAACACACCCTGCTGGTATAGACGAGAAACAGTACATAGTCTGAGGGAATGTATTTTGGGAAGTATATCTGTCTAGAGACTGAAGACTCACTGGTAACATGCTCCCCTTTCCAGCAATTTTTGTGACCTGTAAATTTTCAAAAGACATTTCTTTTCTAGTGTTTTCTGTTGTAGAATTAGCAGTGGAATTACTCTCAGTTAACAGTTCACAGTCATCAGTAGCCTTATTTATTTCTGGTGACAAACCTTTAAGTGTTTCATCTGTTTGGAATGTATCTGTTGTTATCAGTTTTGGTGCTAAACATGGAGTATATGTTCCTAATTTTACATTTGAAACTACCAATTTTGGGCATATGTTTAAATATGTCTGCATTTTTTCCAATTTATCTTTGTTCTTTTCGACTATGTCCTCATGTGGCCTTTGTACTGAGCCATTACCAGTTTCTGGTAACTGATTATTTTCTCTACTATTCTTACAAATAAGAGAACTTAATGTGTCATTTTGGTTATTTTCTTGTGTCATGTAATTTAGATCAATCCCTTTAAATAACTCCTGAAACATTTTAAATGCTCCGAGTAAGGCATTCTCACATTGTTCAATAAGGCCCTGAACTGGTCCACAAAGAATTATACAGTGTGGTATAAATGTACAAGAGCTAATCAAGCCAATATGAACATACCTTTTGGATCTAAGAATAAGGGGTTTACAAAATTTCACCAAAGCAGCATTAGCAATTTCACACTGTAAAGAGGCCTCTGGTAGTACAAATGGAGAAAGCCCAGTGATCCTCTGGATAAGCGAAACTTCTTCTGGTGATAAACATTCCACCACTGATATGCTATTCAGTTCTGCATAATAAATAACTAAATCTGGTTGTTTCACACTAGAAAGGAGCAATTTTACATTCTGACTGTGCAAATGTTTCATGATTGCTTTTGTCCTTTCCATAATCCAGAATTGAGATGTCTGAAATTGTGCTTCTGAATTTAGAATAAACTCTGATCCAGAAGTAGAAAAAAGAGGCTGAATGGCTTCTGTCACTATTACTGTTCTTATGTCACCATCTGCTGGGCAGTACACAGAAAAATCTCTGTGAAGCACAAACCCATCTATGATCCTAGAATCTGAAACAGGAAGGCCTGTGACACCAACTGTCAACTCTCTAAGACAGTCACCCACTAACTCAAATACTGCAATCCCACTCTTACAACTCATACACTTGAAAAAGTAGTCACACATCAATTGTGAAATAAATTTGTGATGATTTCTTCCCACTCTTCCACAAAAATATGCTTCTAAGAGCAACTCTAAAGAGTTCCTGCATACGGTTCTCTCTTTAGCAGAAGAGAAGATGGACAAAAAGTGTCTCCTTAAGTACTGGTCCATTACACGGTCTAAAGTTTGCATTTGAAATGTTAAAAGAGCTTGGGAAATAAATTTCCACTGGCAACAATTTTTCCAATGCTTCCCATGGGTTTGAACATTTTCAGAAATCAAACAATCCTTTTCTTTATCTGTGATTGCATGAAGTCCTCTGAGCAAATGACAAAGAAAAATAATAAATGTTTTAGCACCATCTCCTGTTTTTTTGAGATGACTGGAAATACAAGCCACTACCATCCTGTACAAAAAAAGAAATAAAGCAACTCAGATTTTCAGAAGGCTAGCTTCCTACACCTGAATCAAGAGTTTCCACAGATACAGGCATAAAGTAAGAATATTATCCTGTTGTCATACATCCTTACTTTCAGCTTTTTTTCTTTTCCAAGTAACTTTGTTCTATTGTTAAGATTCTAGAGTTAGGAGCAGGGAGGAGAGAAGTGCTTTTGGGAGTTGATAAGGTTTGGGGTCCACAAGTGTTCCCTTGGGCAGCACTTTATCCCGGAGCACGAAAGAGTCTCACCCGACTTTTTTTTTTTTTTTTTTTTTTGTACAGATATCGCCGGGATGAGACAAGAGGTTTACAGAGACTAAACCTCGGGCACTTGGCTACGGGCTAGAGAGCGGGAAGCGGGTACCTGGCGATGGGATGCTCAAGGTGTAGCGCCTCCAGGAGGCGGCCTCCATCCCGGCTGAGCAGCACCTCGCCGGTGGGCTTCGTACACAAAACTTGCCGCCCCTCGGGCCCCACGCAGCAGCTCACGATGGCTTCCAGCACCTCGGCCACCTGCAACGCCACCTTCATAGACGCCAGGGCGGCCATAGGACCCGGGATCTGGACCGCTAGCAGCCGCCAACTTCCAGGACGCGAGGACCTCCGGCACAGGGGGCGGAGCCAGGAACGGAAGAGGCGGGGAAGGAACCGGAAGTTAGGGACCGGAGCCGGAAACTGTGGCGTAGATAAAAGGTCTGTTTGCTGCTGGGACAAACCCCGTAAGTGCATGAATTGGGGCTCGGAGAGATAAAAAAGTGCTTCTGGCTGTCCAGTGGCTGTCCCGGGAGCGAGAACCCTAAGGTTCTATTTCTGCTCTCTAGGTGAATTTATTTCCCTCCAGTGACATCCACCGCCCCCAAATCCCTCAGTCCGGAAACTTCCTTCCGGAGTCAACGTGGTTATAGGTTCTGTGTGTGGGAGAGGGCAGCGCGGTAGAACCCGGCCGGCTCCCACCCCTGCCGGCTCCTACCCCTGCCGGAAGCTGCGTATGGGTTGGGACGAAACCTCTACAATGGTTCTCGTATATTCTGTCCGTTCGTCACCAGTTGCTCTTCTTTCATCGCGAAAGCAGTTTCGGGATGCAGGGCAGATACGCAGAGGCCAGCCATCACCATCATTACTTCCAGGCTTTTGTCTTTGCAGAGTTTGGCCTCGTTTCCTGGGCTTAGATGTCACAATGAAACCTAAGCCACTACAGTTTACTTTTTCTGAAGCAGCTATGATGGTTTCATTAGTTAGAGCGGTGATTAGTAATATAAAACAGTGGCCTAAGATCCAGGATACAATCCAAAGGCAGGAGGAACGTGCTGCTTCATATACCAGGGGATTTTTAAAAAGTGTGTGAAAAATGAGATTAGAGTACGAGTTTATTCTGGTGCAAGGAATGTGAATATCATGCATAATTTTTTTCCCAAAGTACATATTTTCCATGAACTTTTTGAAGTACCTCTGTATTCGCTCTCTGACATACACCTTTAGGTGTGGGCTTGGGATTCAGACCTGGGATTGCTCAGCCATTTACTTATCTTTGATGCTCAGTAAGAGACCTCTTTGGTCCTGTCTCTTCTCATCTTGGAAAACATGAGATTACCATTTGTAAAAGAAAAATTTCATTAAGGTTTTGAGGAGGTGAACAAAGTTTTCAAAGCACTTTGCATAGTTCCTGGAATACAGTAAGCACACAACAGTTACGGACCAGCGAGTGGTGTGGTGGTTAAACAGTGGACACTCACATGGCAGACCACTGGTGGCTTGCTTTCTCACTTTCTCTTTCTCTCTCTCTCTCTCTCTCTCTCTCTCTCTCTCTCGGTGTGTCTCTGCTCAAGTTAAAATAAATGAATGAGTAAATAAAACAATTCCTTAAAATAAAATCCCAAATACTCAACAGTCAGTATATGCAGTACACCCACCAAATCACTATGGCGGCTCACCACTCACCCATTATACCCACAAGAAAGGGATTTTTTTTTTTTTTTAAGAAACAGAAGATTCAATTAGCATCATAGGATAACACTTTTATTAAGAGTCAAAACATGTTGTCAATACTAGCAAGAAAATCTTGTAGGTGTTTCAATGAGGTTGAACAATAAAGGATCGGTTTTCTTCTTCCTATGTACAGGATAGGAGGAACCTCTCTCCCCTGCTCTGTATTATAAGAACAAATAATAGCCATAAACAACTAGTTCTGAAGGGAGAGCAAGGATAGAAAGGAAGGGAGAGGGTAAGGGAGGAAAAACAGTAATTACTTTTGGGAGTCATCTGATGTTGACTCATTGTGGATGAGGAGGCAATTTGGGGAGAAAAACTTTCACGTGGGTCTTATGTTTAACAGTATGGTTCATTTTTTTCTGCTTTTATTCATCACACAGGTTATATATTATTATTCAATATTTCAATTTATTTAGAAGTGAAATGCTAAGATCAGAATTCTCCTTAAGTGTACTGCAGAGACAGGGATTCAAACCCATGCTTTCTCTTACAGTAAAAGTGTGCTATCACTCTTTTGGAGTCATTTAACTTCTCTGAACCTCAGATTCTTTGTCTAATAGTTGACTAAATTCCATTTATCAAGGCTGTTATGACAATTTAAGAAGAATGCATATTAAGCACCAAGCAAAGCACACATTAGGGATTCTAATTGTGAAATCTCTTGCAAGCCCTTTGTCATCCTTAGCAACTACCCTTCCCCAACCCTTGCCACATACACACAAGGAAAAAAATTTGGACTAAGTAATTTAGTCATCGTATGTTATATTAAAAGTCATCTGATCACATTTTGCTCTTTTAAAAAATTTTATTTAGAATGCCTACTTGTAGAAGTTAGCATAATTTCACAGATCATTAGAAAAATTCAACTCTTTTCTCTCTGCAAACATTTATAATAGGTTAGGAATAATAGATTAGAAATGTAATACATTACAAAACAGTAGCCTATGACTAGCTGTACATTTACTATGCACCTTAAAGAAAAGAATTTGACAGTGTGCTATACTTACACTGCAGATAACATACTTTTATTATTCTATCATACAAAACTGACCAGTGGTAGTGATTGGATTTATAAATGATCATTAAACAGGATATTTAAACTTAGATGTATATTTAGCATGCTAAAAAGTGAAAAAATTTCAACCAAAGTTCTGTGGTTCATTCATCAGTTCAAATGTCTCATGGCATTTTTTGTTAAATGATATTTTCCAATATTGTAATACTAAAACAATTTTACATGATAAACACGGAAAAATAAAATTTTCTAAATATTTTAGAAAGTATATTCACATTCATTTTGTCATGGGTTTCTTGTGGCTCGTCTACATATGTTAATCATAAGACACTGGTCCTAAACAATTTTAACAGTCCATCTTCAGTTAAAAACTAACAAAAACAGAAGTATGTTAAGAGTAACAGAGGGTAAATATATTAAACTCACAAGATAGGCAGAACAAAATGAAACCAAATTACATAATAGTGGCAGGTTATACATTTTAAAGAATCTCTTTTTCACTTAGGTAAGATAGAAGTTGAAATGTAAACTTACCGATTTCCTGTGGAGGGTTTCCCCCATTGGTTCAAATTGGAAAATCTGATATAAATACTAACTTTATTTCTGTACATGGAGCATAATTCAAAATAATCTCCAGTCTCAAGTATGGCACATCAATAATGCCATTATCACTGTATGTCAAAATTATTCACTGATCACTTAGAAATGCTAACGCTCAAAAAAAAAGGAATTTTATATATTCATTTTCTTACATTTTGACTAAGATATTCTTCAAAAGGTTAAAACTGCCTTCCACAAATTTTTGTGTATTTATGGCACAAGTTGACATCCAAAACAGTGTGAATTCCATCAAAAAGGCACTGTTTTCAATACTCAGAATAATCTGACAAATCTCCAATGGTCTCAGAGTGAGCAATGTATTTGAAATAGTAAATAGATAAACCCTTATAAAAGTACAGCATTACTGTTTAAATATACTATAGCAATATAAAAGGAAATAAAGTGACAGAGAAATGACCCTTTTATGACAAGCCTATAAACATTTTGAATCATATGATAGTTCTATAACACAAAAATGACAAAAGATATTTTCTTAAAGGCACAAAAGCGTGAATACTAAATGAGGGTTGTATTTTACAAGGCCAACTGTGTAATGGAATGCAGTTGCCAACTGAACTATGACAGAAATTATACTGTACCTTTATAAGCTATGCAAAAAAAAAAGTTCTGACGTGAAATATTAACATTTCACATGCCATATATATATATATTTTTTTTTTTTCCAGGCCAGCTCTAGCTCACTAAATGATGGGTAACAGAAGGCATAGTACATTTAACAACTAAAACAGAAATACACTTATCAATTATTACTCATCTAAATATTCATGTGAGAAAATACAATTTTTGATAAGTGAAAAAAACTGGTCAGAGGGTCTTAAATCATAGAAACCACCATGAGGCTCTCAGACAACTGGGAACTATAAATCGCTTTATGAATCCATGTATGAAGGAAGATTGATCTCAAGTGAAAAACATTTAAAATTAATTACATTTTATGGTAAAATACAAAGTTTTAATTATATATTTTAAAGGACTCACATACTAAGCCTAACCAGGGATCTAAAATTAAGCCAATTCCTGAGTTTTGTGTTCGGTTCACAGAAAGGAACTCAGACAACTAAAAGCCCAAGAGGACTATTAGATAAGATATATATGCTCTTAGTGAATAAGAAACAGTTATGAATAACCCTGCTCTTTCTTATGAAATAGTTTTTGATTCCTTGAGTAACACTACATATCATCTTCCCTAAAAAATTTTTTTAAAAAATAAAGTAACTATCTCTCCAGTCTTAGAAGATGCCCTTACAAATAAAACACTATTTGGACCAAATGAAAATAACATATAAGTAAATCAAAAAAGATTAAAACCCTAAAGTAGGTTACCATCAAAAAGTTTTTTAAGTTTTCAGGGTTTAATAATGAAACTGTTTTTGTGATCAGCCAATCAAGTAATATATAATATAAATTAATACTAATTTAAACCATAAAAAAATCAAATTGTACAATATTTACAAAATATATATTGATGAGTAGGAAGTTAAGCATAACATTGTTAACAGAATGTGAATATAAAAATTATATTGACAAATATGAAATATAACAAAAGACCTCACCCATTCCAATGTAGTCATGAAAACACTGGCTATAGGTACAAATTATTTATGCTTTTATCCATTTAAAAAATATTTTCACTTGTATGTATGGAATATAGCATTATTTTACCAACAATACATGGAAAGAAGATATTTAAGGATATTAAAGATATTTAAGATAGCCACATAGGTTAGAGGAAAAAAGCAGGCTCTTTTTATCATTTTCAGTTTTCATAATTATCAGTCATCCCCTGACTCAATATTGATTATGGCAAAAACAGTAGATTGTAATTTTACCAGTGTTTCATAGTCTCTTCTTAGTCAAAGGCAAATTGTGGCTAGAGCAACTATTCTCTCGGACCTTCATTTTCATCCATAACTACTTCAAAATCTATACTTTCAAGATCCTAAGATTTTAGGACATGTTCCTAAATTTAAGTACCTTTGCAAAAAAAGTTTTAGTATCTATGTGAAAACCACAAAGTCGAATAATTAAACAGAAGAAACAAACAAATCTTAGGAGGGACTCTTAGTCTGAACATGAAGGAAGCTTAAAGAATTGTGGTGTTGCTACAAAATGAAGTTACTAAGGACAGAGGGATAATAAAGAACTAAACTTCACAAGTCGATACTTTTCTTAAGATGATCAACTTATTGCACATTTTAAAGAGACTAATTTTAATGTATAAATAAAGGCCACCACACAGTGTCTTATTGCCTTTCTCTTTTTGGCTTTTGAAGTAAAATATTGGTTATTAATTTTTTTCTACCTATTCACTGAACACACTAAGGTCTAAATGAAAGCTAAAATTTTTCATAATGAAAAAAACATGAAATATCAGCATTTCAAATATAAAAATCTCTAGATTTTGGCCTATGTTGTGGACCACCTGACTTAAAAAAAAAAAACAAAAACGAAAGCAATCAATTTTGACCACACTTTTTCCAGCAAGTGCTTAAAGTGGCATTGAAACCAACAGATCCAAGTAGCTGCATACCAGCTTTTTTATATTTTAGATATACACATAAGTACATATCTACCGGTATCTATAAATATTAAATTAAATCTTGGGGGTTAAAAAAAAATCTTGTGTAAACTTTTTTAAAAAAGCAATTTGCCACATGTCTATCTCAATATATTAATTTTGACCATTCACACTTCTTTTTTGCTGTTTCTATGAAGACAATTGAGTTGGGTGCTTAGGAAATTATTTTAACAATAATGCACTGTATTAAATTATTTATAATCTGTCGTTCCATCATTTCCCAGTCTGTAATTCCTTATTGATAAAAGTTTTGTGCCTGTTTTATGAAGAAAATAGATTACTATACATATATTTTATAAGATTGATAGCATTTTTGTTATGAGCAATGTTAACATTATATCTGAGAACATACTACAGAATACAAAGACTACTGTCAGGTAAGAGTACATAAGACACAATTGTGTATACATGTGGGTTTATTATACTCACATGTAGACACATTCTCACAAAAGCTAAGAAATGTCCTGGCACTTAACACATAGCTCACTTTAATGATCAAATAGGATAGCTCTTATTTTAGATTAAGGAAAAAGATGAAAACTCAACATCTCTACATTTATCTCCTAGGTTTTTTGTTTTAGAAATAGTGTGATGTTTTAATAAAGACCAAATCAACTTGAACATTGGTCCCAGGCCAAATATCATCTTTTAAAGTATACTAATTCAACTATAGAGAACTTCTACTTAAACATGAAATTTATTATGACTTGAAGCAAAATCAGAAGAAAAATGATGAAGTAGTCTTTCTGTTGTAGAAAATAATCCGTGGCAGGTGTGCTTGAAACTAAATGATTTCGAAGAGCCATAATATTTCTACAAAAATAAGCAACAAGAAATTTTATAATTATCTGTCAGAAGTGTTACCACAGAATTCACAATTTGATGTCATACAGTCACAGAACACTTGATGTTGTCAGAAGTAACTCGTTCAATACTATCACTGAAACAAGAAGCTGATTATGCAATGGAAGCCATTATTAGGCTTTGTCTAAATCTAAATTCTATATTATACCAAACATATTATTTAATTATATGTATCAAACTTAACTATTAAAATGTGATGATGTAGAAACATATCACTTTCTCTAGGAGTGGTTTTACAGCAAAATTTTAATTCTTAGTGCTTCATCAAGGTTCTTTAGGGAAAAACAGGGATAGGAGAAAAACACTAAATTAACCTGAAAAAAAAATATGACTGATTTTGTAACATTTATGACTTGAAGGATGCTCTGTTTCATATCTTAACAGAAATGAAATGTTAATTTAGTCATGAAGTAAGCTTACACTTTTTTTTTTTTGGAGAGGTTTTTGCTATACGGCGCATGTGCTCTCCAGAAAGAGAGACAGAAGCGAGAAATCACCACCCAGCGGGGATAGCCACGCTGCAATCCCTTCTCCTCCGTTATCCTCTTGGGATCTTGGGCATGCACACAAACGCACTCGGCATGAGTTTAAGCCACTAGGTCTGGGGCTTGAACCACAGTTGACTACATGGGAGTCCAGTGACATAGCCATTATGCCAACTGCTGGTCCCAAGCTTACACTATTTTTATGCTGCCCTAAATGATTTTGCCTAAAAAGAACTGATTACCGAAGGATTAATTAGCTTCTTCTTTGAACTGCTATTAATGTATTTTATAAGTGTAAAGATAGAGATAGGAAGGGGGCAACACAATAGAGAAGGCTAATTTATAAATATAATTAAATCAGGAAACCTGAATGCTTTTTAGAGGGGGCTGATGATACTGAGATACACAAGAAACACTCCTTGCTGTAAAAGAGCTCACAGTCCAACCAGGTAGACACATATATAAAATAAGAACTCTGGAATGTAGTAAGTGCTCACAGTATGTCTAAGGAGCTATGAAAGCTGAATTGAGGGGCTAATTAACTCTCTGTGAGAGAGTGACTAGAAATGTTACCAAAAAAAGGGTGGCATTTGAGTTGAATTCTGAAGGATAAAGAGAGATTTTCTTCATGGACAAGGTGTGAGGAAAAGCAATCTAAGAAGTGGACCAGTGTGTACAAACATACAAAAACGTGCATTCTGAGAGATGAAAGGAGTGTCATAGGACTGGAGCCTGGCAAGGTACAGGACAATGACAAGAGATGAGGCTGTGGGTGAAAACTACAACTAAATGTAAGCTGTAAATTCTCCAAAAAAAAAGGAAAAAGGAAAATGTCTTTTTAAAAATCGTCTAGAAGCACTGAGTGAGTGCTGAATACATAAAAAGCAGATGGGCAAATATCAAAGATTTTCAATAACTTATGTAGCATAGGAGGCAACCCAGGTGAACTCATGTTAGCCCTACCATTTCTCCAAGGAATCTCCTTAGGAGTTAGTAACCTTCAGTTGCTAGGTCATGGGGTGGTGTGTAGGAGGAGGGGTTAAGACTGCAAGAGGAGTACTCAGCCATCTCAGTGCAGGACTATTTACACATGTATGAAGTATTTCAATACTTCAGCAATTGATGCATTCCAATTAAACATTAGCTATGCACAAGAGGACTACAAAAGCCTTTGTTAAGTAACTTTCTCAGAAACAACCCCACCTCCACATCTAAGCCAGCAAAACATTCCTAGCATGCTACAGCATATGATAAAGCGATTTCAATTCTTGCCTCAGAGAAAAAACAACCTCTCCTCTCCCCCAGCATTTTAGTGCTAGAAGAATTTTATGTTTCAGACATCACGTGGTAGAGGCCAAAGCTCTAATTTAGCTTAATCATGTTTTAAAAAATGTAAAGTTTGCAAATGATTTTCTATGTAGCAGGATTCTTAACAACTCTTCTGGACTCAAATGAATAGTAACTGCCAGTATATATTACCTTTTAATTTCTTCCTGTGTTTGTTTTATAGATTCGATGGAACTTTGAATGTCACCCAGTTCGATCCCTTTCTTTCTTCTTGTACTTGGTTTTACTGATTGAGCTAAAAAGACATTAAGAATGAAACTGTAATCATAAAAACAATCTATAGTTCAACTTACTGATCCTAATAAAAATTTTCCTAGACTTAAAAAATGTGTTGGCTTTTGTGGCTTAAGATTAGGCTAATACTACTAATACTCTACATTTGTAAAGTTTCAAATATTATTTCAAAACCAAAACACTACAAATATATTTTTTTAAGAAAATTGTTTAATTAAAAAATTTCTTTTTTTCTTTTCTAGAGATTTTTACTATAGGACACATGTACTCGCTGGAGAGACAGAGACAGAAAGCGAGAAATCACCCCCTGAGGGATGGCCATGCCACAGTCCTTTCTCCTCTATTCTCCTCTTGAGATTTTGGGCAGGCAGGCACACACACACACACCCCTGGCCTGAGATTTATGCCACCAGATCTGGGACTCGGACCATGGTTGCCTACATGAAGTCCAGTGATGTAATCATTATGCCATCTGCTGGTTCCTTAAATTTATTATTTTAAAATTTTCTATGGGGCACACATGCTCATTAGAGAGAGACAAAGAGAGAAGGGAAAAGTGAGAAAGCAAGCCACCAGGTATGGGGCTCGAACTGTAGTTGGCCATGTGATAGTCCAGCATCTAAACCACCATGCCACTTGCCAGCCCCACTACAAATATTGAGTTGTGGGGAAAGTTAAGATGCATTTTTGCATAGAAAAACAGGAAAAAAAAGTTGTCAAAAGACAACCCAATATATTTAGTAAAATTTTGGATGGTATCAGTCTTATGTTTTAAGTAATTAAAATAAAAGTAGGGCTGGCCCTGTAGTGCACTGGTTAAGTATGATGCTTTGAAAGCCAGATCCCACATGGTTGATTGTAGTTCAAATATTGATTCCAGTGTCTTGAAAACCACACCAGACGTGCGCATTTGTGCCCAAAATCCTGACAGGAAGGAAGAATGAAGGAAAGGAGATTGTAGTATGACCATGTTCCATTGAAGGTTGCTTTCTCTCTCTCTGGCACATGTACTCTCCGGCAATTAAAAATATATATACATATATATTTTAAATTATATAAATAAATAAATTTGGGGGAGACACTACTTTTCTGTCAAAAAGAAGTTTTTTTATTTGTGTATTGTTATGCCAGCGGGAAACACACAGGAAATACCTAAAGAGAGTGAGAAAGTGCCTCCCAATGGAGCCTGGTCATGTTGTAATCCTCTGCCACATTAGGAAACTGGGCATGAACACACATGCCCAGCATATGCTGGGAGTGGGTTGGGATTCAACCTCTGTCAGCCACATGGGATTCGGGACCTAACCACTGTGTACGGAGATTGGCTCTGCTTTTTGTAAAGTTTATTTCTTCCATGCAGTGGTAGGGTACACATTCCCAACAGGGTCTTTTCTACACAATCCACTTTCATCCCCAGCCAGTTAGGATCATAGGCAAATGCGTATGTATCCGGTGTGTATAGGATACCAGGGAAGTGGACCCAGAACCTTCTCATGTGAGCCAAGTATCAAGAAGTGTTGCATTATTGCTGTGCCCACCATAGCTGGCCCAAGAAATCAGTTTTTTAAGTCCCTTTTCCTATTTTTTGTTCATTGATAAGGTTATCTTTATTCCCCTCATTACCTAAACTTTAAATATCTCTAGTCAGTTTCATATGTTTTCTGCAAATTTGTATTGCCAACCAGCATCTGTGTAGGCTTTTTTCAAATCCCCTCTCATTTTCATTCCTTTCTTCTTATTTTTATTCAAGTCTTACTTAACCTTTCTCCAAGTGTCTGCTTTTTCACTTTAAAACTAGGGCTATAGGGAACCAGCAGTTAGCGTAATGGCTATGTCGCTGGACTCCCACGTAGTCGACCGCGGTTCGTGTCCCAGACCCGGTGGCTTAAAACTCACGCCGGGCGCGTGTGCGTGCGTGCCCAAGATCCCGAGAGGAGAATGGAGGAGAAGGGATTGCGGCGTGACCATCCCCCCTGGGGGGTGATTTCTCGCTTTCTGTCTCTATGTCTCTCTCTGTCTGTCTGGCGAGCGCACGCGCCCTACAGTGAAAATCTCTCAAAAAAAAAAAAAAAAACAAAACTAGGGCTATAACAATAGTACCAAAACTTTACATAGTTGTAAGCTATGCTTAACATATGGTCTGATACATGTTATCTACTCAGTAAATGTCTGCTGATCATTATAGGTAATAGAGTGGAGTGGATAAGAGGGTGAATCAAGGAATCAAAATATCTGCATATATAACATATATACATGAGAGGACTTAAAAAAATTCATAGAAGAATGGAATTAAAGTATCAGTTTATTTTGGTAGAAAAAAAAGTCAAGATCCCTGTAGTTTTTCCATCATATAGAATTTCTATAAACTGTTTAGTGAATCCTTGTACCTCCTTATGGGCAGGTAACCTGTGTCTCAGTCTTCTTTTCTATAATGGATACAGCAACTAATACTCCAGAGTCCTTTCTAGCACACTGGTACCATATGATTCCTGCTTTTAAACATTTGTTAATTTTATTAATCTGCTATTCCAATATGTTGCTTGCTCCACCCATCTCCCAACTCTAGATCACAGTAATACAGTAGAAATACTAATGATTCATTGGGGTCCTTAGAACTTTTCCTCAAAATGAATTAAGCTCCTTCTCCTTTAAATACTTTATCACTTATCATCTACTAATTTTCTGGTATTTATTACTTATTTCCCTCTAGTGTTGTCACTTTAAGTAAAAATAGGCTCCCTAGCTTAGTGCAAACTTTAGTAGAGACCAAAGCTTAAAGGTTTTTTTTGTTTGTTTTAAATTTGGTATAGGGTGTGTGTACTTGCTGGAGAGAGGAAAGGAGGGAGGGAGAAAAAGAGAGAGAGAGAGAGAGAGAGAGAGAGAGAGAGAGAAAACCCCCCAGAGGGTGATGGCCATGTCACAATCCCTTTTCCTTTTTCCTCTCAGGATTTTGGGAATGCATACACATGTGCCCAGTGATTTTTTTTCAAACTGCCTGGTCTGGGACTGGAACTATATGGCTGGCCATATGCGATCTAGCCACCATAATCACCATGCCACTGGCAGGTCCTTATTTTCCTATAATATTTAAGACCTTAATCCTTGCTTGAGTTATCTCCCTGTAGTTCAAGACAATTCACACTTTGTCCGTCTCGAAGAAAAATGGCACAGAATTTAATCGCAAGGTACATTAACTTTTCCATAGTTGTATTTTCACTTGTCTATGACTTCCAAATACTACAATAATTTATGGGAATGAAAACTTTTTTGAAGCATAGAAATAAGCTCAAAGTTTAAAAAAAGCCTCCTGAATTCAATCTAGAGAACCATCTAACCAGGCTTCAGAGCTATTACTAATGTGGTTTGTGTTTGCGTGTCACACTTCATTCATTTTCCATGCCTTTCCCTTGTGGCCTGTTCTTGCACCTTATCTATGATTTTGAATAGTTTTGTACCCCAATTCTGCCCTTACCAAAACTCTTACATTTTTTTTTAGTTAATATTAAAAAATGAATTTCATTTATCAAACATAGTGCAGTAATATCCTTTTTAATAATTACACTCTTATGGCAAGTAATCTGAAATAAGTATTTTTTACCTTCACTTCCAGATGAATCCTGAATATCTGGTTCTGGGGAGGAATAGCCTTTTGCCACTTTCTTCTGTTGCCTGGTTGGCTTATGTTTCATTTTTGGGACACTAACCTGAAAATAAAACGCTGCTGTTATGTAAGGTTTCACTGTATTTTCTAATTAAAGATAAAAGTTGTACAACTGTCTAATATGATATTCAGAAATAAAGACAGAGATTAAATATTCTAATTAAAATTTAACAAATAACATTGATGTACTGATCCAATCAAATTATTTAATTTTAATAGAAAACAAGTTGATACGAACATCAAAAAGTAAAATATATGATGAGTTTATTTTTTCTCCTGATCCCTATCCACCCAGTCTCACTACTACTAAATAGGTACCCATGTCTTTTGGTCTATATGTTCTTCAAAAAGCTAAAGGCAGAATTATCTCCTGATCCAGATTTCCACTCCAAAAGAACTAAAAACAGGGTCTTAGACATAGTATATGGATGTTCACTGCAGCATTATTCACAATAGACCAAAGGTAGAACAATCCAAGGGTCTATCAACAGATAAACTGCTAATAAAATGCAGTAGATACACACAGTGGGACATTAGCCACAAAAAGGTACAAAGTTCTGCTATATGCTATAGCACAAATGAACCTTGAAAATAGTGAAATAAGCCAAACACAAAAGGAGAAAAATTATGACTCCTTTTATATAAAATAAAGAGACTAGGAAAACTCACGGAAATAGAAAATAGATTAGAAATTAGCATGGACCAGAGGAAGGAGGGAATTATTACTTACTTGTTATAAAGTCTTGAGGATTATATTATAAATTATATAAATATATATTATAAAAATGTTTGCTTTACCAGTGTGATTGTACAATATTGTAAATACAATTAGTGACAGTGAACTGTATAGTTAAAACTGGTTAAAATGTTAAAATTTATCTTTTATATGTTATTACAATAAAAAATTCAAAAAATTTTAAAACTGTGTTTCACCCTTTAACAACTTCAACATGATAGAGATACAAGACCTGTATATTTTCTCCTAAAGGTAGACTTTATTGATCACAGTAACTCTTGGTATATCTCTAGCTATACTGTTAACTCCGTCATTTCTTACCATTCTTCATCAATGTCCAATTTGAACCTATTCTAAGAATGTGGATTTGTATTCTAAATGCTATAAAATTTAAGTCTCTAGCATTTGAAGTAAGAGTATAGACTGAATATAGCACCTGCCTATTTACTTTATACTATAATACTTTATTTAAGTATGTAAATACTACTTTGCAAATTTCAAAGAATAAGTAATTAGGGTTAGTATTTCCATAGTTTCTGATGAGAAATCATTTGTTAATCCTATCGAGGATCCCTTGTATGTGATGTCCTGGTTCTTTCCTGCTGTTTTGAATATTCTCTTTGGCTTTTGACAGCTTATTTTAGAGTGGATCTGAGTTTCTCCTACTTGGAATTTGTTGCTCTTCTTGATTTGTAAATTTATGTTTTTCATCAGATTTGGGAATTTAGGCCTTCTTTCCATACATATTCTTAAGCTAATCCTCTCTCTTTTCTCTTTGTAGAACTGCCATAATGTACACATTGACCCATTGGATGGGTGTCCCACACGTGTCTAAGATTTGGTTCACTTCCCTTCATTCATTTTTATTTTACAACCCTTGGACTGGATAATTTCAATTGTTCTACCTCTAAGTTTGCTGATTCTATTTGGACTTGTTCAAAAGTGCTACTGAATACCCCTGGTAAAATTTTCATTTGCTATTGTACTTTTTGGTCTCAGAATTTCCGTAAGGTTACTTTGTGTAATTTTTCTTTATTGATACTCTCAGCATGGGTACATCAGGTAGTACTCCAACAAGTCAGGTCAGAACATACATAACAATTTATGTATAAGTCCTGTTCTGCTCCCTCTGGAATCAAGGACTCACATCGGGAATGAGGAATCCTTCTAGACGACTGCTGCACTGAGCAGAGAGTGGGACAAGGGCAAGCTGAAACACTACAAAGCTTTCCTACTGCTTTGAAGTCACCCCTTTCTTGATCCAGTGTTCACTTGTTTTGATTGTTTTCCAGAGTTCTAGTAAATTTGGTTCTGATATTTTTGCTTATTTTTCAATGTTGCTTTGGTATGACAAGAGTTTGTAGCTACCCACTCTACCATAATGCTCACCCTAAATTTTAAAGTTTGAAACCAGATTTTAAATGTTGGTTGTCATATATACTAAATACTTAAGAAATTTATATACCTAGTGGATCTAGTTACTTTCTTATTACATACCATTGGAGTGCGATGTTTCACTTTGGTCTGAATAATGCCATCTTTTTCAAACTGTATCATATCGTTAAGTGGGTCCCATGGTCGGGTACTACATAAGTGAAAAAAAGAACCCTGTTTTATGACTGAAAAGAGAACTTAAAACTTTTGACTTCTGATTATATTTTCATTAATAATTATAAACAGTTTTAACAATAAGATTTGCTCATAACTAATTTTCTTATCTTCAGCTTATTTTTATTGTTTAACTACTATCATAGGTAAATTTAAAATAAATGAAACATCAAATTTAAAATCTCACCATAAAATAAATGGTTTAATAAAAAAAAATTACTCCACCTAACAAAATAATAATGTAACAAACTATCCTAATACATTGTTTGAAATAAACTCTTTTTAATTACTTACTCTGCAAACTTGTAATGCCATTCTCCTGTGAGTGGATCCAGTTCAAATAACTTGCAAGCCCATTCTTCATTTTTTGTTTTCCGATCTCTGGCAGCTTGTCTTTGAGCTTCTTCTAAAACATACTTCTCTTGAGTAGCTTCTGTTTGGTCTTTGGCATTTATGGCTCGAGTTACCCGCTGCCAGAGTCTAATATGTGTGCAAAAATAGTATTGAAAAAGTAACACAAAGTCAAATCTATATAGAACCATCTTGAATTCCCTTGAAAGAAAATAATGCTTGCATGGATTTCTGGTTTTAATAAGGCTTATACTCATATGCTTGAAAATGAGTCACAATGTTAAAATCCAGTGCCTTCAGTAAAGAGACACTTTTTCATAAGTGGAGACTAATATTTTTTCCTTGCCAAGAGAATTTATACATGGGTTCTTAAACCACGGTAGTAAATGCTGCTGACCCAGGTAGTAAGAATGTAATGAGAGGTAGGGTTGAGGACCTTAATAAGTGTTTTTAACAAGCTTCCCAGATGATTCTTATACATGGCATTTAAGATTCACTGGCCTCATTAAGATCCATTAATGATATGCAGTGCTTTTCAAGCTTGGATGCATAAATTATCTAGGTACTTTAAAAATCAGAATCTCTGAGGGTAGGTTCAAGTATTGATACTTTTTAAATATTTCCAAGGTGACATTAATATACCACCAGTGTTGAGGATTACTGACTTAAAGAAGAAACTATTGAGCTAAAATGATTTCCGCTTATAAAATTTATTTATTTACTTTTCCTCATCAGTTAAATAAAAATAAAACACCTATATCCTACCCATCTGGGAAGGCAGTGTGTTAAAACTCAAAAAACAAAGGCTTAGAATCAGATGTGGGTTGAATCCTAGATTTGCCTCTTCTCAGCTGGCAAATAAAGCTATTTATTTTGTTTATGTCTCATTTCTTTATCTTTAAAATATACTTAATTATATCTACATCTCCAAAACTGTTGTATACCTCAGCAAAGCTTAGCTCTAGATAGAGAATCACAAAGTTATGGTTGAAACAAAAATTTTTATTGCATATATATTGTTTCATCTTTGGCAATCCCAATTTTGAGTGAAGAGAAAGTACACGTAGACTTGAATCCCCATGAAAGAGAACAGTATGCATGTGGGAACACATAGTGGGGACTAAGCTGCATAAGTTCTATTAAAGTGCTCAGCGTTCCTTTTACATGGAAGCCCCCTTTAACACAAAGAGAGGTAAGAAGGATAAAATGTGCAATGTGTATGTAGTACTTTTTACTCAAAAATAGAAGTCATGTAGTGAGAATTTCATGTCTTAAGAACAGAAACTAGCCATAATTATTATCCAACTAATATAAGCCCTTAAGAAGCCAGCACATACAATGGCACTATTCTTGTACTTCAGAGAAGAGTACAAGAGAGATCCTTTACTGCTCCCTTCACCTAGAGTTCTGCATGCCTGTATCAGGTTAGAAAACAGGTAAGAATCACTAATCAGTCCTATAATTTTATGCAGAGAGAAAAACTTTGTTTATTTTTAAGATACTGGAGTAGATGAATAAGGAAAGGAAAAAGTGGGAAGTTAAAACTATTTAAGCCTCAGAAAAAATAAGATGATTTGTATTACATTTATTTGATCTTCATTTCACATAAATGAAAACAGAATCCTGCCACATCCCACAAATGAAAAATTGCTTTAATGTACATATTCAGAGACAGAAGACAGAGATATGCAACCATACTACTGAGGAATTAAAAATACTCTTAGGCCAGCTGGTGACACTGTAATTAAGGGAGCTGGATCCTATATGGCAGACTGCACAGTTTGAGTCCTGAACCCAGTGGCTTGAAAGATATGCCAGATGCATGTGCACGTACGCCCGCCATTCCTAAAGGAGAAATGGAGAAGGGATACCGGTGTGACTGATCTCCACGGGGATGGGATAGGTTAGGAGATGGTGGGGGTATTTTCTCACCCTACCTCCGTGAGTGCACGTGCCCTCTAGCACATTAAAACAAACAAACAAAAAACTGATCTTCATGGAGTTTGTTGATATACTTACTTCTCTGATTCAAAATCTCCCTGCTCTTCAAATTTTACAGTGTGCCTTATTAATCTCCATTGCTTAATGTCAGGTGTTGGATTCCAAAAAACCTCTGAATTATCAGTCTTTTTTTCATTAATGAAAACTTCACTATCCTATATTTAAAGAAATTAAAAATTAATGTAGAGAATTGTCTTTATTTAGAAAGGGATTATACAATATATGATAGTAATATTTTTTCCTATTAACTACTCCTCTAGACATTTAAAAACAAATATGGATAGCGCTTTTTCAAAGTCCCAAGTATCGTCATTTTTTTGTAAGAACATTGGCTATGTAATACAAAGTCAATTTAAAAAAATATTGAATGCACAGAAATTATATCAGATTTCACAAGTTTTAGTTAATAAATGAATTTCAAACATTACATGCAAAGCCTCAAGTCACCTCCAAATTGTCAAAGTCAAACGCAGTTTTTGTTGCAACTATAATAAGATGCTGTTGACCACCCTGGACTCATGGAAAAACCTGAATGAGCCTTTCTTAGCATTCAAAATTTGGGCACAATCTTAATAATATCCTGTTTTAAAAAAGTCTGCTTAATCTTTTTTCTAAATGATATTTAGCTATAAGTAAATTAAAAATTTACTACAGGGCATTTGTGGCCACTTAGCCGAGTTCCTGATCCAGTTTCATTTTGTCATCACTCTCTGAGTATTTACTCAGTGCTGTGGTGCAAGTACATCCGGGCAGTACCATGCTCCTCCTTACTCATTTAAGCTCCTCTTAACTACATTACACAAATATGAATTTAAGTCATTACACAAATATGAATTTAAGTCAGTCATATATTGCTAAATCCTTTCCACAGTTTTCTAAAGTAATATAACTCTACCTAGATCTATGCCTTTTCCTTCTAAGAAGTGGTGTAGGTGCTCTGTGTAAAAGCACAGGTCTGGAGCCAGAGTTCCTGGCTGGAATTCTTTACCACTTGCTTTAAGCAAATTATCTAAACTCTCTTTGTCACAGTTTCCTTCTCTGTAAAATGGAGACAATAATAAAGAATAATAAAATGGGTATCTATGTACTCACATTGCAGGGTCATACAAAATATGCAATGAGTTAGTATAACACACAATTCCATACATAATAAGTGTTAGCTATTCCTACTGATGTAAAACTTCTGAAAAGATAAAATATTATATAAAACTCAATATTGTTGATAATAGATCAAAATATGTGTTATTAAGCTGAGCCTATATTGAATAGGGATGCTGCTAGCCATGGGAAAAGCAAGCTTTTAATTTTAAGCTATGATTGTTGGATTTCTTCCCTCACAATAAAATTCCTTTTGTAAAGCTAACATATAAAAATACTTACCCAATGACCTTCCAAAGTAGCTAGGACTTCTTTTCCCAATTTAAGTTTCCCTGATATTTGATTAACACAATCACTGCTCCCTAAAAATGGCTTTTAAAAGAGAAAATGTTAAATATTTTACTTCGTTTTATTTACTGTATCTTATTTACATAAGATATAGATAGAAAAAAAAGTATAGCTACAGTGCTCTTAAAGGCACAAATGGTGAAATACTGACTCAAATTTTAGAAATGTTTAATAAAAAGAAATTTGACTTACAGCTGTGGAAAAACATAGGTAAAAACCAACGAACTGTGTGGGATTCAAATAAACATTAAGAGAAATAACAATGAAACAACTATCTCATGTCCTCTCATGTGGTCTCAAGTCCTGTGTTGTCTTCTAACTCACACAACTGTGCCCTATCAATGTCCAGTATATTAAGCAATATCTCAACTAACATAAGGGGTTTAATAATCTTAAAGAAAAACAATTCCTTCAAAACAAAATATATAACCAAAACCCCTCAAAAATAAAATCAGAAGGAATAAGCTTTTTGAGCTATTAGTATATTGCTTTATTGATCTCTCTCCTTAAAACAATTTTCAAGCTCTAATACAATACTTAAAGGTGTTATAAATTACTTAAGATCCCTTTTTCTTGACTTCCAAATATCATTGTCACTGCACAAGAAAAAATTTGCTATGGTGAATAAAAATCAAAGGGCATTGCATCAAAAATCCTTAAGAGATATTTTTTATTAGAACAAAGTTGATCATCAGCTGGACATCAACACAGGAACAATTTAATAATAAACACTATATAGGTCATATAAATATTTTTATCTGCACACACCGTACAGTCCTACAAGAACAACTGACACTGTGAGGTCTCAGATCTCCCTTCTACTGAGGCAGATGGTATTTTCTAAAGATGGCTTCAGCAACATCTACCTTTCTGTTCTCCAGCCCATATGCTTCGAGACCTTGCCACTCTCCCAATGAGAAGTGGGGTCTATATCCCTTTCCCTTAAATTTTGATGGACTTGTTACTTTTCAACTAATAGAAGAAATGGAAGTAAAGTAATTCGGCTCTGAGGCTAAGATTGGCATGGAAGGAAGCTTCTGACTTTCTCACTTAGGACACTAGGATTTGGAAGCCCTACGCTGTGCAGTAATAAGTCTGATGACCTTGAAACTGCCATGATGTGAGGAAGCCAAGTTGCATGTAAAGGCCACCATAGAGGTGCTTGGGTTAGCAGTCCTAGTCTCTCTAGTCATCCTGGCCCAGACATCAGACACATAACTGAAAAAATTTTGGATGATTCCAGCCCCTGACTGTTAAATGACCCATAAACTGCAAGTTTTCCTGAAGTCCCAAATATAATGCAGTGGAGACAAGCGATCCCCAGTATGCCCTGTCCAAATTCCTGACTCTCAGAACCTATGAGGATCAGAATATGACTATTTCTAACCCTCTGTTTTAATCCATTATGCAGAAATAGTAACTAATACAATTCTTAGTGTACACAACTAGTATGCAAGTTGATAAATGCCTTCTGGTACTTTGTACAGCAATGCTTTAATTCACTGAGATATTTCTATCCAATCACCTCCTATATATAATGCCAGCAGCTTTATTAATTAAATTTAAGAACAAAAAATTATCACTATGCCTTAACTTGAATCTTCCAAGGCTGCTATCTTAGACTATACAAAGATATTTAACCATCCTGCCCTTATCCCTCAGATGTATTTACCTTTGACCTTCAATGAATTATGTTGTTATGTTTTATACTTAATTAGGAACTAAACTGTGATCTTTGTTCAAAATTTATGGCACAGCTCCCTTTTAATTGGGTGGTACCTGTTACTCTCTACTAACCTTTAGTTTAAATTCAAGTATTGCACTGTATCCAGTTTTCTGACATGTAATATTGACTGTTCCACCAAGTTCCAGTGTCATTGTACCATAAAGAATACCTAGGGGAAAAAATTAACAGAGAGGTTGGGGAATGATGTACACTAGCTAATAAAAGGCAGTTTTGTAATCTAATCTCCTTGCAGGAGAAACATAAGTGAAGGTCACTCTACCCACTCAAAAAAAAAATCTATAATATAGACATAAAGTTGGTTCCACAGGATATAAATAGATGACAGATCACATTATGTACAGATTCCATATAGGTAAATTTGCCTACTCACTAAAGTATATAGATAATTCCCAAATCAATACCCACAGTGCTTTTGTAGTCATTCATGGACATGTACAGAGTGGAGAAAAATGTGAATAATCTGGTGCAAAAGAAGTGCTTTTGCAGTATATCTAGTGCCATGTTTTCCCCATTTTTATGCTTTCTGTTGGGAATTTTGTTCTTAAATGAACTTAAGAATAACACAGAAGTAATATCTAGTGTTTTCAGAATCAGAAAGCAGTGATGTACTTCACAGAGGAAATGTGTTAAAAGCTTTGTTCAAACATGAATTATTGTGCTCTTGGCTATTAGTTCAATGTTAATGAAACAGCAATATATACTAACAATACATAAAACAAGGTTATATACTGACTAGTGGATTAAAATGATGACAAAAGGCTCATAGGAGTAACTTATTGTCATATTTCTCCTAGGAACAATGGTTCAGTATTTACTAATTGAGCATTTGTGGTGAGTTTATAGAACATAACTACTGCAAACAATAAGAATTAATTGGATAGGAAGAAGAAAATAAACAAAGGAAAACCCCACAGGCTCTATGGCTAAAAGTTGAGGAAATTCTAAATTTAACAAAGTTAGGCTGTGATGTGTAGTGTGTCTCTGTGTTTAGACTAAGTTGTAAAGGTAGCCCTTAATATGCAGACGTATAATGTAAATTTCCAAGAGGGGAACAGACAATGCAATATTTCTCTTATTTGGTTATGGAACTTTTATTTTATAAAATGATTCATTAGATTAGTGATTTAGGAAACACATCTTAGAAAATTTACAAAGGTGGAAAACTATATGAAAATAATCAGTACTTCCTATGCTCTCTCATATTCCCTATGCAGTGAAAATACTCTATTAAAAAATTCTCTACTGCTAGTTGGACATGGCATGAGTATTTATTAATATGCTGACTGGATATAATTTTATTTATTTCAAATGACATACAATTTAAAAATGCATATTCTTATCGATCACGATTTCAAATATTTTACTTACTTCATACCTATTTCAAAAACTGTACATAAAGTCTTAAGAATGATCTAGCCTGAGCCCACAGCCTGGCCATTGTTGATCTAGCTAGTTTGGCCTTGGATAAGATTCTTAACCTTCTTAGGATTCTCATCTGTGAAATGAGGCCATATGTTTTAATGAATTAGCTCCTAACATAGAGGATAATTCCCGAAAAATGTTGTTTTTGAGAAGTAGGTTGGAAAAGGTAAAACAAATAATGACCAAATTGTGTTTAAGCTGATGCAAACTATTTAAAAGTTCAGACTGCAGATGTAGACTGCCTGGTTCAGACACTGACATTGCCACATATTGGCAGTGTGATCTCAGGCAAAGTAATTTCATTGTCTTTTTTTTTTTTTCATCTATAAAATATGTGGAGACTTCAAAAAGTCTGTGGAAAATTGGAATTGAAGTACAAGTTTATCTTGGTGCAAAATTTTTTAATCTTTGAATAGTTCTTCATAATACACATTTTTCACAAACTTTTTGGAGGTTCCCTTGTATAACAAAAAGTCCATGACAGGTGGATTAATTCACAACAGAAATATATAGCAGATGACAGCAATATTCTTAAGTGTCTATAAACCAAGGGTGGTTTCAAACAAGATCTAAGTCTGACACCATCTGTCTAAAACATAACAAATTACATTCTTAAACATTTACTTAAAAAGGTTTAAGGAGTATCTAACTCAAGTATGGGGAATATTTACCTTTACAATGAGCATATGGCATGGTCATTACATAATCTTCACCTCTATTCAAGAAAGTTAGCCGTGCTTCTCCCTCTAATATTGCAGACAATGAGTTTCCTGAAATAAGTATTGTTTGTTAAGTATCACAAGTCTAATCCAAGTAGTTCAAAACTAACAAAATATACTTAGGATATTTACCAGTCATCTACACTGGTATGCCTTAAAAATGTCTCATCTCAATGTGTTCAAACATGTAGTTATTGCCTTTCTTATATCTAAAATGTATTTGATCCATATTCTCATTCTTACAAAATGAGTACCTTTTAAAGGTCAGTTATATACATGTTACATTATTTTATGAAGGTCATAAGAAAAAAAGTTTTTGAGAGATTTTTGCTAAAGGGTGTGTGCACTTGCTGGAGAGACAGAGAGACAGAAAGCAAGAAATCATCGCCCAGGGGGGATGGCCACACCGCAATCCCTTCTCTTCTATTAACCTCTCAGGATTTTGGGTATGCACACACACATGCCTGGTGTGAGTTTTAAGCCACTGGGTCTGGGACTCAAACTGCAGTTGACTATGTGGCAGTCCAGCAAAGTAACCAGTAAGCTATCTGCTGGCCCCCATAAGAAAAATCTTAAGCATAAAGAATATTTGATAAAACATTGTTTCATTATTTAGCTTAACTGGAATTTTCTGAACAAAAACATTTCTTATCTGTAAATCACATTAGTTAGTTAAGTCCCAAGCTTTAAATATTTATAACTGATATAATAACCCTATAGACAATTGAGAAAATAAAAAAAATGCATAAACCACCAAAATGCAATTGATGATAAGCTTTCATGGTAATTTTCTCTAGCTTTCCAATCATATGTATTTCTCCTTCTTTAAATATCCCGCTTTATTGCAGTACAATAAATATATGGTAAGTGACCTATTTTAAATGTAAGTGTGTTTTGGCAAACATAGAGACTCATGTAACAACCACTAGAATCTTGATATAGAACTTCTCATTGCTCCAAAAAGGCCCCCTTTGCTCCTTGGTTATGAATGCAAATTCAGTCTCAGGAAACCACTGGTCTTTTTTCTATCACTGCAGTTTTACCTACTACAGACTTTCTGAGCATCTCGAATGTATAAACCTATATATTTTGGTGAATACAAGAAACGGTTGGCCATCAGTTCTTTAAATTTTTCTTCTGTTCCATTTTCTCCCTCTCCCTCTTCCCTTCTGGACTGCTAGTAACAATATATTAGACCATATGATACTATGTAACAGATCCCCAAAGTTCTGTTTGTTTGTTTATTTTTTTTGCTTTTGTTTTTGTTTTTGCTATAGGGTGCACGCACTCGCCAGAAAGACAGAAACAGAGAGACAGAAAGTGAGAAATAACACCCCCAGAAGGGATGGTCATGCCACAATCCCTTCTTCTCCATTCTCCTCTTGAGATCTTGGGCATGCACGCACATGTGCCTGGTGTGAATTTAAGCCACCAGGTCTGGGACTTTAACTGTGGTCGACTACACTGGGAGTCTAGTGACGTAGCTGTTACACCATCTGTTGGACTCATATTTTTAAATATAATGTTTCTCTTTGTTTTCCATATTGGATAATTTCCTGATCTATTTTCAAGTTTACTTATTCTTTCTCTGTCATGTCAATTCTGCTGTAAAGTTCATTCTATGTGTTCAATTTTGGTTATTTTTTTCCAGTCCTACAATTTCTATTTGGGTTTTAAAATAATTTATATCTCATTCTGCTGAGCTGTCCTTATTTTACTATTCCTTGTGAACTTATTGTCTTTTGCTTAATTGATGACATAATTAAAGCCATGTTAAAATCTTAACATGCTATTTTCAATACCATATCTTGGGGTTGGTCTTAGTTGATTTTCTTTTTCTTGGAGATTGTTCCACTTTCCTAGGTTTTATAAGTTAGGTAATTTTAAATTGTATTCTAAGAATTATAAATGTTAAGTGTAAAGACTCTGGATTCTATTATTTTTCTCCAATGTGAGTTGTCCCTTTGTTTCTACAGGCAATTACTTAGTTGGACTTGAATTACAAACTTTTTCTGGATGGTAGCTCTGTTCTGGGCATGGTAGTTTGTTTTGGATTCAGTCAGAGATGTGGGCAGAGAAAATTTGGGA